ACTATTTGAAAGGCAGTAACGTGGTAAATTTGTTTTCTGAAGTTGGTAACGCTGCCTGCCAGGTGAACTCCAACAACGCGACACGAGAGGAGGATGCAGATGCAGGCAGTTCGCTTACCGTTAATTCTCTGACCTCGACAGTCTTTGTCGATGTTGACTTCGACGAGCCTACCTCTGTTACTTCCTCCCTCGTCTCGTCTTCGCCAAAAACCTGTCCCTCTGCCACTAAGCTTCGACCACCTAGGAAGATTTCGGCACCGAGGAACGGTGCAACTGCAGCCAGGAATCAGTTTGGGTTTGCGAAGCGCTCGACGTCCGCTGCGGATCTGCGAGAAATTTCAGACCCAAGTGTTAAAAGAAGGAATGTCCGTGATTCTGAAACTAGTATGTCATTCTTTTAATGTCCTAGTATCTCAAACGGCATTGGAGGTTTACGCGCGTCAGAAGAGACGGTTTTCATTTTCTTTATATGTGAAATTATTGTCCTTTATAAGTTATGGGATGTGCCAAAATTATTTCGACTGCCGAAACGTTTTCAGTTCAAACGTGAGTGGTTACAACTCGCACGCAACAGCCTCCGGTTACTCAGCAGTGTGCTTGTAAGCTTGCCATCGAAAACTGCAGTTTAGGCTAGGATTGATGAGTCAGTCCTTGACACGATGTCCGTCTTAAGTTCTTGCTCATGGACTAGTCAGCACCTCCCAATTTGACCCTGACACTTTTTTCACAAACAGGGGGACCCAATCGCTGTTTCCGAACAAATTGCCACACTTTCCTGTTATAGGTCGTGGTTTACGATCTCAGTCGAGGTCCCGCGAAGTCACCAAATCAGGGATTCCCACCAAGGCAGGCCTCAAGGTCCAAAACCAACGTTCACGCAGCCATAGCAGGCCTCCACTCGCAGAGAGAGATCAGTTGATGAAGTCCCAGAAGCCGCAGGTTCTTCAATCCTTCTCCTCTTCACCAAAACTATCGTCAGGTTTTGCTAGTCGTTCTTCCTCCTGTTCGGACCTCGCTGCTGAGGTGAGTTTTTTTTCGGTACAGATGCTCTGTACAAAGCTCTTCCACTTTAGTGTGTTGCAGTGATCTAGTTTTTTTTCAGAGTATAATTTTTGCGTACATTTCAAAGCGAAGCTAAATGAAAATCCTGAAATCGATGCAGTAAGATGCACATGGGACCTTTTGGCCTTTAGTCGTAATTGCCGTAAACGCATTCCGTGGCTGTAGATTTGCTGAATGTGTTCGTCTAATGAGGCTTGTAGCACAGTGGAACACGACGCAGCATTAAAGGTGTGGATTCGTTAGAATATTGGTTAGATGTTGCTCGACCTGTGTAAACCAACTTTGTTACTGTGGTTGGTTTTGATAATCCCTTGATGTAAGCTGTTTGTAAGTCACCCTTACTTCTAGTAAAGGAGTCGATAAAGTATCGAACATTCATCTAGCAACATTCTGCAAAGCAGGACGATAATGAGGCGGTTCAGGTCGACTGAATTAGCGAGTGTTGTGTGTGTTGTGGGCCCCAGCATGTGGTCTTGAACCACACCGGGGCCACAGTATTAACCCTGGCCTGGTTACGTTTCCCCAATACCCGCGATAAAGAAAAAGATCGGAGAAAACGTGGACACGACTGTTTACTGCAGAGTTCAACCCCGTTGGTGTCGTGTCGTGTGGGGGGTTGCGCGTGTGTATTTATACCTCGGATGTGTGGGTCATACACGCGCTAACATCTAGACCTATGTGTGAGGATAATCCAAATATCCGTGTGAACGAGGGGGGGGGGGTTGAGGATCCGCGTGGCTGACGACATGCTCCGAAAGGGGGAATTCAGTGTCGGAGGTGGATCGACCGGATTAAGGGATGTGAATCAACACGATTCACAACATGTGCATGTGTGCGTGTATCTATTCGTTCCAAATTACTACATTCAGCACATATTGATATGACCACCGTTAAGTGACCGGAATCCAATGTTGTAAGAACCAAGTTGACATTCGAAATAACCCAACGAACAAAAGCAATATTTCCGGCCAAAACGTTTTACTTAATTCCCCAAATTGAAGGAAATTCGGTGAACAATAAAAATTTAATCAGTTGAGAGTACGTAGTGGCAAATTAAAACAGTATTGCAGCCCAGCATTTTCGCAGTTCTGTGTGCGGAACGAAGTCGTCAAGGCTTAATGTAACACCACCTCCATTACCATTTTCATTAACTCACTTGTCTGTCGTGGTACGCTAAAGGTGATGTTTAAAATGCATCTCTGATCCTCTCGGATTCTGCCGACATAACCACAGTAGTTGCACAACTTTCATTTTTTCAGCTACCGCAATCAAGTGTGTGAATCGTGCTTCACTTGTATGTATGCATGCATGTTGGGCCAAGTAAATAGCCTTGGGAGCTGCTTGCAGGGCCGTGGGGGGTGTTCTCATAAGACAGGCAAGTGTTTCGCTTGGGGCATGTCTGTTACTCGAATGTGAAACAAAGGACAATACCTGGAAGCTCTGGGCTGTTCCTAAGTCAGTTTTAGATTGCTCTGCAAGCCGCATTTACTTGAGCGATGAATGGAGTAAGCAACCCAAACGCACGTTGTGATTGTTACTCTCGGGCAAAAGCAAGAAACCATCGCCATCGCACAATGATTTCGCGTAGGTGGCGGTTGTGTTCAAATTTTGCAAACCAGATATTCCTTAATTGGAGTTTTTTCAGGATTAAGGTAGGAGAGATTTCATTGGCGAAGAAATGTGTGTTTTGAATACGCATAAGTGATAAATGTGGGTTTCGAAGACGTCATTAAGTGGACAAGTTCCTGATTTAATCTGCTTGATGAGAGGATATGGTTGAAGGAAAAAGCTCACCAATTCCTGCACTCTTCTGACCGTAACGCGTAGCTATCACTTAGCGTGATTAAGTCTGCGCATTGGGCCGGCAGTGGTATATGCTCTCCTGATATGTTGAATTCACAGACCGCAATGTTGATTCAGAAGCTATAGGCAGTTGGAACCCTGGTCCTAAGGCCACACACTCTTGGTACTAGGTTCCCTTGTGTGGACAATTATTCTTCCGATCGTGCTAATGTTTACACAAGAAGCAGTGTTATTTCGGTGGACACTGATTCGAGGACTGATAAATGCGAAACGAGGCACTTGTGTCTCCTTGTAGATTTATCGTATTTAATTACGCAACGTAAGGTGCGAGATGAGTGTCAGTTGCGTTTAACTGCTCGTAAATCAGCGTCGCTTCAAACAAAAGCGTGAAACCTGCATTGGATCGGACTGCCTTTGTGCAGGAGGCAACGGCCACAGCCACTGAGTCGCCCACGCGAACCGGACAGTTGGGTATCTGGCTTGGGGGCAGCACCCGCAAACGCACATTTCAACGTGGCAGATGGCTCGGGTCAAAATATGCCCACTCGAAATCGGGCCAAGCACAGCATGTGACTTGGTGGTCGGTGTGTTCTGTGCATTCCTCACTTAATCTGCTGTGTGAAGAATAGCGCGTAGAACTGAAGTTGTCCCAAAGTAAGGGAAGCTCAGTTTGCCTTTCACTGACGGACATTTTTGTATATTGACAGCAAATAGGCCTCTGCGAGAGTTTTGATGACTTGCCTTGTTCTACGTGTGATGGATTTTGACTAGTGCTGTAATGGATTGTGTACGCTTTGTCGCCAGTGTGGATGTCATTGAGGTCCATTAGTGGGATTCAGTTAACTAGAATCGTGGTGTTGGAGTTGTGGACTGTGGTAAACTATGACAGTACAATCTACAACGCTGTTAGCAGGAGAGCAAAATGCGTGATTGCGTGGAAACCTGGCCAATTTTCATTAGGAAGCATGATTCTGGAGTAACTTTAAAGATCTCGTCTGTGAATGTGGTCTTGATTTTGGTAAAAAGATTATTTTGAAGCTGAATGTCCTTCAGAATTCAGGAATAAAAATGTTTTGTTAATTTAAAATCAATTGATTATTGGGTTGAAATAGCCTCACTTATTCAGTATTTACATACAATGGTACACCTGCTTCTGCGCACCGCTTTTAATCTACTTCCTCATTTTGTTTATTTCTTCGATGCGTCTAAATTTTTACTAAGCGTTCTTGATTGAAATGCTCTTAGTTATGCTATCTTTAGTCGGTGTAATGTTCAGTCGACTTATAACGCACATGGTGTTTTTTTTTTACCGCACACTTATGATAATACTTTTTTTGTGACCTCATGCTGGAAGTAGGAATTTTTTGTAGCACTCTCCGCTTATAGTTATCACGTAAGTAAGTAAGTCCTAGCTGCTTGTTTCTCTAAAGGTCGGTTTGCACAAGAATGTGCCATTCCTCGATTTCGAAAAAAGCGGACGAGATCATTGTTGTGTTTTCATATTTTCTTGTTTAAATTGTTAACTCTACTGCTTGTAGTCAACTGTAATAGGGCTAAAATGATTTAGTCATGTGCGCGCGGCTTTCCCGTGGATGCGTAGTGAGTTTTCACTACGAGTAACTCTGTCATGGTCCATGCAAATCTCATATTATGTTCTGATATTTCTAAAATATTGTTCCGTCTTATTTAAAACAAAACAAACCGCACGCATCAGATTGCTGCTAAACCACTGTTCCATGATTTTGGATTGGTAGTAGTTTTTAAGCTATTAAGTAGGGATCGACGATGTTTGTGGTGTTTCATCTGCCCAGTTTTACAAGAGTTGCAGTTAAGAGGACAACATTGTGTTTCTCGATTGTTGGTTGTACTTTTTGGCGTTACAAAATATGTCAGTTTGCTTATTCATGGTTGGTTAACGGTTTTGTAGCCAAAAAACGGCGTCGATATTTACCAGCGACGTTACAGTTCAGTTCGGGGCATTTAGGGCACTTTGTTTCCAATCCAACCCCTTCCTTTTGCACATCTACTCTGACTCCAAAGCAAAACATCCTCCCATCTGGTGCTCTCGTTTTTTTAATCAATTTTACGTGGTACCTAGATATTAGGTGGTGGTACAAGAGAATCGAATTTGCTGGCTTTACGTGGTGAAGGGCGTGTACGCAGATAATTCCACTTCGTTGCTGGTCCATCGCGCGCCTGCAACCGAATGTTTAAGGAGTGTTTTTGGCTTGGTAGACTTGACCAGCGTTGGTTATCAATTGTTCAAAACGTGCACTAGGTTCTTTACACGATTCACGCGACACCTAAAAGTAAGCACTAAGTGGGCTAACGCATGCGAAAAAGCAGCCCCCAACTTTAGAAACAACCAAAACTTGATTGTAATGTCGAAGAAAGGTTTATTGCCTGAATCTATCTTGAAGTTGACAATTAAGAGCGATTTTGCACTAGGTTCGTGCTTTGCGTTTTGCCGGTCTTATGGACACTGAAACCGTAATGATTCAAATGAATTACAATTGTATGTTTTAATATTTGATAAATCACCAGACTTGCTCCCGCCTCCTTTAACTTTATCCCTTCAGGTTTTCAAAAATAAGTCTGCGCATGGATAAAATTAATTTTAATTTTTCGAAAAAAGTCAAAAAGCACAATGTTAATTTTGAACGGCGGAATTTGCTAGTTCGAATAAATGACAAAAATACATCTGAGTCCTGGAATGTTTGATTGCGTCTAAAGAAGTGATATTCTCGAAGCTTGTAATTTAAGGGTTGTCTGCACTTAATGAATGGTTGTTTACTGCTTAAGTATTCCGATTTATGCGTAAGGAGTGCCCGGATATGTGGACAATGCGGTAGATCACTTGCTGTTTTGTAAAACTGACTTTGACTCTCGAAATAACTTGTACTGCTGTGACTGCCTCTACACAACCCAAATCGTGGCTCAACGACGTTTTATTGACAGTCTAGACCGCAAACCCCCTTTCGATATTTTTGGCCAAAGGGGCATTTTAAGGTGGGGCTGTTTATGCTTCTCAAATCAGTACTTCGTCAATTAAGGTGATGTGCAAATCTATGAAAAATCGATTTCGGTGGTTTGTGATTTTTTTGCACACCACCTTGTGCAGGTTTCTCACCAATGTTGCTTTTTTGAAGGTTCGTAGACAAACAGCCAAGTGCACGTGTTGCAGCCGAAATCGGTTGGTGCGTCTAGACGAGGGGCGCTATCAGATGGGCTCTCGCATCTACTACCTTCGCCGCTTCCGCTCGCACATCATGGTTCGTGTTGGTGGTGGCTGGCTCACTCTCCCCCAATTCCTCGACCGATATGATCCCTGTCGGCAAAAAGAGGGAAATCTCGTGACTACCGGTCAGTCGTCTACCGGTGACGGTGTGTCCTCGGTTCGAGTTCCGACAGCTAATCTTCTCACGTCCTGGCCCTCTACCGAAGCCGTAAATCCGTCACGGTAAACCGGTGGACAAAACAAAACCAACATGCAAACAATCTGTGATACAAATAACCCGCTCAGTTGTTCATCTGTGCTAGTGCGCTTGTGGGTGTGTGTGTTTTTTTTTGAAAACTTGCACACTTATTTTATCCCTTGCTCAAGATTACCGTTTTACACGCAACTGTTCTTAATTAACTTTGGCAATAAAAGAAGATTTCCAAACCTGGATTTGTATTTTTAGGGTTATTGTCGCTTCAGCAAAGCATCCTTTTTATTTACATTATATTATTCATAACTATTTTTGGTCGAATTAGTTCGTCTAACTGTTGTTTAGTCATGTTAATTGGTTTGGTTTGTCAAGATTACATCGTCTTTTGATCATTTTAATGGTAAATAGGGTACCTCGATATTTTTAGTCGTATTTATCCGGCACGGTATTGAATCTCTAATGGATAATGGTCAAGCATGGTGTTATTGGTTGGAATCTGAACCGTGAAAATGTGGTGATGGTTTCTGACCAAGGAGAGTTTTGAGTTAGAAGAGACGATGTTGACCACAGGAGCCTCACTGGATTGTAGAACCCAATATGTCCTTCCCACTGAGCGCGATTGCCAGACGCGTGAGATCAGAAAAGGGATTTGCAGGATTTCTTTTGGCCAAGAACAAAGTCGCCCTTTTTACTGACTTCTATTTTTGGAATTTGTCTTGATTTTCGTTAGGTAACAATTATCACTGGAGCGCTTGAGAATTCTTGGCAGTGATTGAGTCATTTGAAGTTGACGAATATGTACACAAATGCTACAGGATCTCAGGAATAGAAGTTACCCTCGCTGGATTGTTGATCGTTGATTCAAGCAACTCATTTTAACATCAAAATCCTCACATAAGGGTATCTTTTTGCTTAGCTATCGACTTAATTTCTTAAACTTCCTGTTATTTTCACTGTTGCATTATCTGGCACCGCGATTCGCGCACGAATCACTAGCTCGACCACCACGGGCGTTCTATCACCGTTCCCTTGATCTGTCAAATGTGCACCAAAAAGTCGCCTGGCGCCATCACGGAAATGAAATGCCCTTCCACCTGGAAAATAGCCGGATTGAGAAGAGTTATTGATCTTTGTGTGGGTCATTACTTCCCTAGACGCTAAGTAAGGCTCACAAATTTGCCAGTATTTTCCAACTGCCTTATCTCTCAAGGCTAAACAAAAAAATCGCCTATTCACTGCTGTTTCTCTGGTGTGGAATGCTGATCTCACTTGGGCAAGAAGGGTTACGGGTAGAAATAAAAATGTCAAAGGGTGACTGCACTTATTTAACAGGGCTATTCAATTTAGTGCCGGGAATGAAGGACACTAAAGTGACGGCTGAGTGGGTGATGGATGCACAAACGCGCAATACTGAAAGGTCAGTCAGTGCACTTTTGAAACATTGGCCATTACAAATGTAAAATATTGACTGCTGTCACAAAAATCCTCACTTGCGACTATCACCCATTCCATTTGATACAAATTAAGACATCTTTCAAAATACCGTTCTTCACAGAGTAAATAAGCGTTGAATGAGTAGGCTTTATAGCAGCGACCGTCAACAAACTACGTGACATTGGTCAATAGTAGAACCAGAGTTGTTTGCTCAATGTGTGGTTATTAATTGTGACGGCGATACCGTTCTCTGTTGTTGCTTTTCCGCTGACCCCATTAGAATTGTTTCAATTAACTTATTTCCTCGAATACTTAGCCTAATTTACGAATCTCGTCACGCTATACAAAAGCCTATTCTCCAGCACAGTGCATGTTGTTAAACAGCCACGCCTGCGCTACAATCTGCCCAAACAACACACTACTTGCCTTAAGCTCTGTTGTGTGTATGATTTGGCGGTACCGTATGGAATAAATCCTGGTCAAATGCATAAAATCACAAATGAAAGAAGTCAAATGTTCTCGTTTCCTTCCGGTGACATTCGAATTGAAAATAGGCCCGATTTGTGGAGGAATATATGCTAGCTAAGTAATCGAGACATGTGGGAGTATGTGGTCTATGTACGTGCTGAAGATATTACCTGATATACACCGGACCAAGCGAGAATGGATAGGAAACACCGCTGTCTGAGGCTAAAAAATTCAGTGATTGATTGGCAAACACTAAGCAGCTAGACTGAACCCACACAAAGAATCCTCGCTTGTAATGCAAGAAACGATCTGCATGTGACAAGGCTCTTTGGTGCTCTTGCATGCTGGCTGTCGTGTGTTCGGATTTGCTGTTTGAATTTCGCGGGTTTTAATGTGTAAACAACTAATTAATAATCATAAAAGTCGATTGCAGCATTAGCAGAAATTCAGCTTTCGCTGAATTTGATTATATGGGAAGAAAAGGTAAATGCAAAGAGCACTATTTAGGCAAATAAATAGGACATTCAATCGTCAAAATTCAAATAACTTATGGTGCATTTTTTGTTTCTCATTTAGTTATTTTTGTTCTGCTGCACTAGCAGAGAATTTCTTCTGGTTTTGAAAGAAGGCTTCAGAATGTCTCCTTAAACCCCCACTTGGCATTGTGCTGCTGGTGGAAAAAGAACTTACGAAAATTGGTTAATTGCAATTTGCAGAACAAAATAATAAGTGTATAACATTAAACAAAGTTGTGCAAATTAAAAAAAATTCTTGCACACAGTAATCACAAATCAACAATATGAGTGTAAAATATCTGAGTAACCGCTGTTTAGGCACATTATAGATTCCAACATTTTGTTATCACGTGCAAAAAGGACAGCCTTGACAGCACCATCGGTATTTAATTTCCTCCGAGTAAAATGGTGTCGTTGAGATTCCTTAGTTAGGGAAGGTGTGATGCTAATAATTTAAGGGAGGAAGCAGCCAAAATTTGTGATCATTCTGCTCTCATTTCCTGTACACAAGTTCCATTCAGAATTTGGTACTTGTAGTCAACGTTATTGAAGTACTTGCTAACAAACCATTATGATTTCTTATGGTTTCTTAATGAGTAAATGTACCCTGCCTTAGGCCGCAGCTTACTCATGAAAACATTGAGAACTAAGGAGGAATTGGCCATCAAGAGTCTTAGGTACTAAGAAAGCAAAATTAGGCAATCTAGAATTTGATTAAAAAGATTGCAGGTCAATAACTCCATTATGAGGACCATTTATTTGTTTGGAAGAATCTAAAAACCTCTCTTCATCAATCGGGTGTTACAAATAACCATTTAAAGTCATTAAACTGGCATGTACATTCGAACGTTGAAAACTACTTTTGGTCTGAGTGGTTATTCTGTACAATTTTTAGTTGTGTAATTCCAGTATTAACAGTATGGGGTTAGTCAAGATCATAATGGCAGTACCCTGATTAGGTGAAAGTTTCATTTTTTAGATCCCACCAAAATTGAGACCAAATTCGTAGCGAGGGAAGTCGTTATGTTGATTAAACTTTTGACCTATTTGTCTCTGAAAATGCAAATTTTTTTAGCCTCCCTAACCACAAAATAGGTGTTAGGAAACCCACCATCATCTATTTCCAATGAGATGAATCAATTTTTTAAAAGGTGGGGCTTCTAAAGTACAGGATGCGACTTCTTAGTTTTATTGTCAGAAGATGAAATTTAAAGCCCAAAAATACCCAATATATTTGCATAAATTTCTTCAACTGGAAATAAAATTCTTTTGTGCTGCATCGCTTACTTCATGCATGAGCCTTTTCCGTACAGTATTCGTATTCTGCTTGTTTTCTGCGGTTTGGCATTATAGGTAATCAAACTAGGTAAATGGAATTTTTTAAAATCTGTTCGCAATTTTAGCAGATGCCGTAATTGCCTTGTATTTAAGAACCTTAACAAGCAAGTAAGCGAAAATGAGTTTGCCTTGGATCGAAAATGGTGCTATTTTAATGCATCCGCGCTGTTTTTAGTCTGTTATCAGCGAGAAACTTTACGTTATAGGGGGAGTCTGAAGATAGTGAAGACATGGACTCAAATGTTTGATCCGAATAAGTTGCATGCACTAATCTTGGTCTATTAGCTACATTTAGCGGAACCTTAAATGCAAGTAGTGACTCTAGAGATTGCCTTGACTACAGAGGCTATTACGTCTCACATCTACGTCAAGGCTCCTTATTGTTTGTTTTTTTTAGCATCTTGAAACAAAAGTATAAGGGATGTCCACGAAACACCGATTTACGCTTAGCTTGGGTAAACAAAATTTTTCGGTGCACTGCTAAAAGTTACTAAATGTAGAAATTGTTGCTTAATGTTACTTTTCGTGCCAGCGCTTTCATACAAACACTCATTGGTTATAGGTTTCTTAAGTCTTGGTTTTTCAATCAAAACTAATATTGTCCTAGAAATCTTTCTCTGAACCAGAACCATATCGGTGTTGTTAACTATAAATGCCACTGAATATCCACATTTGACATATATAAATATCAAAATATTTGTAAGCAGCTGGTTCTAGCTCCTAATTTGAATTTTCGCCCCTTTGGCTGCTGTCAATTCGTCAACCCCACCTGGTTAAAAAATCACATATATTAAGTCAAGAAAAATCTACGTTAACTATGTAACAGGCTTTATGTGAACACCTTGAATCCTCGATACCTTGCTCTCTTAGCTGTTAGTTTTACACTGGTTCGTTTTTCGTAAAACGTAGCAAAAGAATTCGCTTTAAGTCTAGTTGGGTCTTATCGGACCAGGCAAGTTTCTACTCGAAATATCATGCCTACTAAAAAACGGACCTTGTGCAAATTTCCTTAAGTGTTTTTAATGAACGAAATGATTAATTACAGACTGAAGTTTGTGCCCGCAAAAGCATTCTGAATACTATTCTAAAGAATTCTGTTTTAGCCAGCTACAAATATTTACTGACAAACGGTTGATAAAGTTTTGTTTTAACTACTTGTTCTAATTTTTCTTCTATACATGCGAGACGAAATCTGCGATGTTTTCTTAAATCAAGTACTACAAGCGTTAGTTAGGAAATTAGATATTTGAAAACATTGAATACATTAATGAACAGGTATCTAAACTTGTGAACTTGAGAGTAGTAACATCGCCGGTGTTTAATAGGTTTACTTTGAAAAATACCGAAATCGATAAAGAAAAACTGACAATTTCGAATCATTAATCAGTCATAATTTGAAGTACCACAGCATTTCTAAAACTACGCTACTGTTGTCTAAGCGACTAATGAGTTGACTTTTGATATGTTTGTGCCGAAGCTAGTCATGGAATCTATTTT